TCATGGCAGGATCACCAGGTATTGTAATGAAAATACATGTTAAAAAAAGACTGAAAACAGCTTTGTAATTCAGATTGACAATTAAATTGTTATATGAGATTTTAGTGATTGAGTTTAGGTCTACTTTAATCATGTCTGTATATCTTATATTTTTCAAGCTTTGTCAATGTTGTACATTCAGATTGAATGTATGTTTGGAACATCATCTTCTAACAATGTTTCTCTTGCTATTGAAGTTACCGTTACCTTATTACTCTGGACTCACCAAATGTAAAAGCATACAGCTCAAGGCTACGGAGACTACATGTGTTCCTGAATGTGTTTAATATTATGTTCCAAGAACAGCTTTATGTAAGCATCTGCATGTGCACAACACTGATCTGGAATTTGTTATATTAATCAACTTCTAGATCACAGGTCAAAGAACAGATGGCTGACTGGAAATTTGAATCCATGCAGACAGCAAAGAAGAGCAAAGGTAAAGCGTATTTCCACTTGCCGAAGAGCAGCCATATTGGGATAACACCTATTTTATAGCCGTTACATGTTCCCATTCACACAGCATATATGTAGAAATTGCTGCTTACATTTTTACGTGCTTTTTATACTTTCTTTAAAAAACCTACCTAGCTTCCCCCTATGTAATGTTAAAGAGGGGGCTTTGGGAAGTTATGTTTACTCTAATGAACCCTCTCTGTACTGTGCTGGCAGATCTCATTATCAGTTGTAAACTAGACCCTGTGTCCTAACAAAGGGTTACAGACTAAAAGTGGCCATACACTTTACAACCCTCGCAAGTACGTTAAAAAAACGTACGATCTGCCCATCTTGGACAGGCAGATCGTACTTGCGATCATCGCAAGCCCACCCCCCTGAGGGGCAGGCTTCCGATGACTGCAATGCTGAACGCCAGTGTGCCCATGCGCACACCGGCCCGTTCGGCAGTCATCTCTCGATCATGTTAAAAACCAGCCGAAAATCGTACGATTCTCGGCTGGTTTTGCAACATGCTCGAAATACAAAAGTCGTGCGACCGTACAGTAGAAACAGTCGCACGCCTTCCATACACTGCACGATTATCGTACAATCGCGGGATTTCCCGCGATTCTCGTTCGAGAATCGTGCAGTGTATGGGCACCTTTAGAAGCATTGTATGTTAATGAGAGGCACCTCAGTTTGACCCTCTACTTTCACTTAAAAACTTTTTAGGTTTAGGAATCCTGGAATCCTAAAAGAGTAATACTATGTAACTATGTAATAAGTAAGTAATGCATACATTTCTGGCATCAGGTTATCTAACAAAAAAAACAAAACAATCCTCATTCTAAACAGATTTTCTTCGACCTGTCAGTTCCAAAATGTAGAAATTGTTGCTTCCCTCTGCCGTTTATAAACAATGGTGTATGTCCTAATTTGCAGTGAATAAATGGATCTATAGCACAAGCATCATTTCTGAGGAGGATTTTTTGGAGGCGCTGCAGACTCCTGAAAGCATTCTGGGCTTATACAGTATAATATTACCATTAAAAGGATATCATATCAATGACACTTGTTTATTCTATTGAGAATACAATACTATTCACTGCGTTGATTAAAAATACCCTGCTTTAAAAGGGACTGTATATTAGTTTGTGTAAAGGTTTGTTATTCTGCTCAAACCAATACTTTTCAAAACATTTTTATGCAAACTACTACATATGAATAGTTAATGCTAACTTGCGGATAGGTGCAGAGCGCTAACAAGAGCGCCAGCTTTCTAGAGGCCTATATAACAACTATGGCTGTGAAACGTCCCTAAAAAGCAGGGTGATCAGAATAGACTGCAGGAGAGAAAATACCCCTAACACTTCTACAAGTATAGTAAAAATACAAACAGACTACATACAGAGTAGGGAGGGAGGGAGTATTATGGCCGACTCCCAGATACATACTGTATACATGTCCCACTATTACCGCTCTGGTTGATTGGAGGTAGGACTGCACGTCACAGAGGCACTGTGCAGGTAATATCCGTTTTGTAACTAGAAAAGATTAGGTTGGTCTTTGATGATTGATGGGACATATGCTGTGGGCTTCTTTTTTTATATGTCTCATTGTTATTCTCTGTGCTTTCAATAGGACTGCACTTTACAGAGGTGCCTTGACAGGGCTTGCAGCCTCCACTGTTATTTACAACTATATGCAACTAAGCACGTTTAGAATTTCGAACAAACAAATCGATTTTGGAAAGTTTGTTCCACTTTCTAATCGTTGTTGGGGTCACATTGATCATCAATTTCGACCACACTGATGAATACATTTGAAGGAGCATGTTCGAATGTTCCAACGTTTGTTTGAAAATCTACCCATACATACCCTACTTAAGACCTCTGTTTAGAAACACATTAGATAGGTCCTCTTTGCTGATTGTAGTGGGTGCTGTGGATTTTATTTTTTTAGTGTGCACTTTAACACCTTTCTGTCTGTGAAGGGTCTCATTCATCTAGGTCATGGTATATCTGTAAAAAGGCAGAAAGTCCAGTTGCCTTGACGTATTTTTTACAGATTAAACACCTTTCCCTTTTTTGCCTTCCTCTGGATCAACAGGGGGGTAATTGGGGGCATAGTGTTCTGTTTAGTCTTTTCTTCTCCCCCCCCCCCCCCCTCTCTCTCTCTCTCCTCTCCC